TCTGATGGTCAGCACTCACAACAAAGCGTTTTCCTACAATAAGAGTTAAATTGTCTAACTTCTTTTTTTCCTCTTCTTTGTGTGGAAAAATTCAAATAGTTACCTATGATTCATATAGAAAGCTTAGTGGCCTGTGAAGGTGCAGATAATGTGTGTATTGCTGAGACATTCGGGTTGTTCATTGCTTTAGGTTGAGAAATAAGGTTTTTTGTTTTAAGTGCCAAGCACAATTTTGAGTGTTTCATGGAAGCCTGGGAATATTACTATTCGTAGCTCATGCACAGGGATTTTACAGTGGAATAGCAGGAACTATTTCAAGCGTCCTTTACCGAGTCAACACTGTGGACCCCGGTAATGCAGTGTAATATAGAGTGTAGTATGCATCTTATGTTTTATAACAAAATTGTTTCATCTCTGAAATTAGAGTTTGTAGAAGAGGGACATGGATGGGAAATGTGGAGGTCATTCAGGAAGCAGCAAGTGAAGCAGAGTAACTCCCATTTGTGCTTGGCCAGATGTTAGCTTCTCTTTTGCCAATAACCAAAAGGCTGCTGCTTCATCAATTACTGAACCTCAGAGGCTAATTCAGCTGGTGTGATCAACGGGGAAGGGAGGAGCTTGTATCTCCATGGTCTGAGATCAGGCATTACACTTGGGACGATGCTTAGCTTTGGTATTTGTTTTGTTTTAAATTGTGAATAAAAATGTGATTTTCCCCTAGCCATCTACTAAAGAAAAGTGAAAATTGTATTAACTATATAGATGATTTTATTTATTTATTTTTCTCATAACATTGAAAGAGAAAAAAAATGAAGCCCTTTCATGCTACAACAAAAAGCCTTTGAAGGTCATGCACGACATCACATAGTATGTTCCTGAACACTCTCTCAGTGTAAAATACGCTAATTGCAGACCAGATCATTGGAATTCTCCTTTCAATGATCCGCTGATATTTGTGTTCTCCTGAAAAAAATCCACTTTCACTCGTTTGGTTTTGGCTGGTTTTAAGTTAGAGGGGATGGATGATAAAAGCTTGCTTGTGTACATGTGGCCCTTTCTTAGCACACGGATAGTGACTAACTCTAGTGGTTTTATTAAATGTCTTAGCATATATGATATTTCATTTAAAGGTTCAGCTCTTGGAGATACCTGATTAGCTGAGAATCTCCTCTTGCATTTTAAAAACAGGTTTCTAGCGCTCATGTTTAGAGAGACATGTTTGAAACCTTAAGTTCCACCCTAAAGGCTTAATAATTAAAGCTGAAACGCAAGTGAAAGGACCAGTGCTGGCTTGTAGGATGCTCTGCTGCCAGGGAGGGAAAGGAAACACCTGTTCCAGGACCTACACCAGGCATTGGCACCCAAGAGTGGTGAGGAGTAGACTCCTTGCAATCAAATTATTGTGGGGGCTGAGAATCGGGCCCAGGATCAGGCTGGGGAATAGGAAGCAGGATGAGCAGGCTTCAGGTACCCAAGGAGTCTTTTCTGGCTGCAGAGTGTCTTCCAAGATGGCAGATAGTAATGCTTGGTGGTGAGTCATGTGAGGAGGAGCCAGAGATGCTACAGCTGGGACCAGTCAGTGGATTTAGGGACTGGAGCTTTTGGGAACAGGGTTACCCAGATGGCAGAGACCCCCACAGAGAGCAGGAGGCAGGGATGGATCAAGGCTCTGCACTGAGTCACCCCTGTTTCCTGGGCCTCCCCGAGCTTCTTCACTGCCTCTGTCTTCCCTCCAGCTACCCTCTTGCTCTTCTTCCCCCCAGAATGCACCTCAGCCAATGTTCCCTCAAATCTTTTCCATCCATGTGCAGAATAAATTATTTTATTTGCACCAAGGCCTGTGTGAACGTGCACCACCAATAGAAACACAAATATGTGGAGTTTGAGCTGGGTGCGTGTCAGCTGGGTGACAAGAGAATTTCTCCTGAGCGGCTGCGCAAGTGCCCAACTTACAGGGAACACTGACCTCAGCCCCCATTTTGCCATTGTTCCTGGCTTTGGGTTCCTACTCAACCTTGTTCCTGCTGCACAGCCCATTCCTGGGTGCTGCCCCACAGTATTCCCATTGCATGATGTGCTATCTTTCTCTCCCCTTCTTGCTGAGTTCGGCTGTCCCTTACTCTACTGTTTGCAGTTTTAACCAGGAGAGTTGTTTCTTCTTTCTTTTTTTCCTTGGGTCAGGAATGAAAACAACCTTACATTCTTGGGCGTGGTTCTTGTTTATATTGGCTATGGTCTAGTTGGTTTCATGGCAAACTTTAAAACTGGGCCCAAGCAGACCCCTAAGAATAGTGCTTCCTCTCCCTTAAAGAAATAATAAGTGCCATCTAGTGACAACAGTTGATTAAACTGCCTAGTGCAGTCACTACAAGATGGATGAGAAAACAAAAGAAGGGTAATAGTTCAACTTAATAGTTCTCAGATAAGTACCAAAAACATCATGTACCAATGGAGGCATACCACCATTGCAATATAGTAACAACTGTTGATTATTTATCCCAGTCTGCAGCCACAGTTATTCTCTTGTAAGGATGGGCCAACGGATGCCATTGTTTAAAATATTGATATTTATTTACAAAGTTGCCAACATTACAAGACGCGGTGTCTCTCTTAATCAGGATGCTGTATTGCCTCATTTAGAGAGACCCTGCTTATACCAGTGACTTAAACGAAGGGAGGGAAATTAGTTATAACAAATGCCAGATGGAGATGTATTTCACAGAGAAATGGTTTTGTGCTGTATAGCATGTAAGGTCAACAAACAAGGTCTTAAAAATTCATATTATTATTTAAGATTTCCTGACAAGACTCCTCTTTTTCATGTCAATAAATGTCATGCACTTATGCATGCCAGTATATTTTTAAGACAGAATAATTAAAGATTGCAGTTTGTGGTTGTAAGTGAAATCCCTTCCTCCGATGTTTTTGTCAGGAATCCATAAACTCTACAAGGAAAAGGAATGGTTCTAACAGCTGTAACAGTTGGGTCAGTTCTACACATTCTGCCTTCAAAGCCAAAGGCAGTTTGGGATGACCAAAATGCTTTATGAGGCTTATAAACAACTACTTGAGTTTTACTTGTGTGATTGGATGAGACTACTGGGAATAGAAGGTGTTTTATCACATTAACCCCCTGGTCTTCTCAAATTAAGTTTCTTAGATTTAATGGGAAATGAAAAGTCTCTGAGCAAAAATGTCAGAAATCCTCAAATGCCTAATGTTTCTGCATCCTTTCCAGAAAGCAAAACAAAATGTGGTTATTGAATGTTGTATAGTATTTAGTGTAGTACATAAATATACAAAGGGAAGTTGGGGGTGGGGGAAGATGTATTTAAGTCAATTGCACACTCTTTTTTGATGCTGATGGTGCATTATCTGATCATATAGGAATATCCACAGTCTGCAGTCATTTGAGCCTTGATTCCACCTTTGAGTGCTTCTTTAAAGCTGTTGAGCATACTTCAGACACATCCTTTGCAAGGCTAGATTCCTAGGGTATGTCTAGACTACATCCTTCTGTCGCCAGAGGGATGTAAATTAGACGTACCAAAATTGCTAATGAAGTGGGGATTTAAATATCCCGCGCTTCATTAGAATAAAAATGGCCGCTGCTTTTTGCCAACATGGCACTTTGCCGGCAAAAAGCGGCAGTCTAGATGGGGATCGGTTGACAAGGAAAGCCTTTTCCAACCGATTCCTTATGCCTTGTGCAATGCGGTTTACAGGATCGGTCGGAAAAGGCTTTCCTTGTCGACCGATCCCCGTCTAGACTGCCGCTTTTTGCCGGCAAAGTGCCATGTTGGCAAAAAGCAGCGGCCATTTTTATTCTAATGAAGCGCGGGATATTTAAATCCCCACTTCATTAGCAATTTCGGTATGTCTAATTTACACCCCACTGGCGACAGAAGGATGTAGTCTAGACATACCCCTAGATTCCATGTGGGAGTGGCAAAGAGAAGCCAGCTTCTCTTGTTTAATTGCCTTCACAAAATATTAATTCAGTCCATCTAAAAATTAATTACTTTTCCCGCTTTTCATTATTTTTCTATTACCACGCATTAATGGAAGAACAACCCCTATAATATGCTTTATTATTGAATGATGAAAATAATGTTTCTGCTCTATGTCTTTATACACAGCTGGAGAATGAGAGAGAAATTGAAATATATTTTAAGGGAGAAGAACATGGTTTTGAATTATGCTCAGTACAAACTCTCCAGATATTTCTGGTATTAAGTATCGTCAAATACATGGCAGTTGAAAGGAATTCCCAGGACAAAAATGAGGACACAGGAAGAGAACATCCGGGGATTCAGTGGCTCAAGGACTGATAATGGGGATGTAGATGCTTTTACTTGTAAGTCACTAGTTCAAGTGTAGATAGAATGGTAGTGACCTACACTTACCACCATTGGGTGTTAGACTGTATAAAATGAGGGATCTGAGGGAGATGTATGTCCTCAATCTACTTTCCATTAGATTTTTCCAAATCATGAAGCTCGCACTAATTAGCATGATGGTTAGTCATGACAGAACAATGGTCAAAGATTGCATAGACATGAGGACTGAAGTTCACTTTCATTCCCTAAAAATGATTCTTCCAGGACAGGATTGAGGCTCATTCGAAGGGCAGTGTGGGGAAGCTTCAGTGCAGCTGCTGGGAAGTCAGTCTAGTATCTTTCACAGGCTTTAAATTTATCTTTAAAAGGAAAGTTAGACCCGATTACACTTCAAGAATTCTCATAGCCTCATTTTCTACTGACCTTTCCTAAAATTCTTCTGGGAAATTTCATTCAGGCCATGAATAATTTACTGTTTTATTTGTGCTGTTTGATGGATGGGTATTATAGCTGTGGAAAAAAAAAAGATTGGCTATTCTGAGAGGAATACACTCAGCTAAATAAATGGACACTGCAACCATTCCTCACCTGCTCCTTTCCACTCTGTCCCATTTTGGAAGTCTTGTTAATGTTGAATTTTTTTGCTTGTTCCTTTTTTAGAAAAACTCTACAATTCCAATGGACGGGAGCTGAGACGGGCACTTTTCTCTCTGAAACAAATATTTCAAGTAAGTGAATACATTACTGCTGCGTCTCCATGGTATTCAATATGACATTTATTTCATCCTTTTGGTAAGGGAATAATTGAAAATAACCCACATTGATGTTATGATCTGTTGGTCAGGACATTTATGTGAGAGACTCAGGTTCTTCTCCCTTCTCCAATGAATATTTAATTATTTATTCAAAACAAGCCAGCTCCAATAGAAAAAAAAGTTTAGAGAGACCCATCCCAGAAAAATCAATAGTGTCAGAATTAGAGCATTCATCTGGGAGAAGGAAACTTGCATTTGGAGTCTGGTCTAAGCAAGGACTTGTACTTGGATATTCCACATCTGAGGTGAAAGCCCCCGCCAATGGAGTATAAACTATTCTGTGGTTTAGACAATACATTTCATCCTGGACCTGCAAAACTGTGCACAGCTAAAAAGCTGTTAATACTGGTTCCCACAAAATAGGTTTTGATTTGATGAATAATAAAACTTATTTAGTTGGAAAATTTCCAACCACATCTAATCATAATGCACAGGGAACCTTATTTTTGGCATTTCCTAAGTATTGAGTGAGGTGGCAAAATTTGCAGAGGATACTCAACTGCTCAACGTATTTAAGTCCAAAACAGACTGTAACTATGACTTAAGATATGCAACTCCAGCTACATTAATTACGTAGCTCGAGTAGAAGTGCAACTCCAGCTACATTAATTACGTAGCTTGAGTAGAAGTATCTTAAATCATGTTTTGGTGCTGTCCACAAAGCGGGAGATCAAGGGGAGCACACGCTTCCATTGACTTCCCTTATTCCTCGTGAGGAGCAGGACTACCGGCGCTGACAGGAGCTCCCTCTCTGTTCGAATTAGCGTGTCTTCACTAGAACTGCTAATTCGAACCTTGGAAGATTGACTGTGGCAGTTTCTGTCTTCTCTGTAGTGCGAACAAGCCCTCTGGGAATTAGCTCTGCTCCACATTGGAGTTCCCTTTTCCAGCTGGTGTCACATCTACTTTTACCTGTTATTCTCCACGGTGCCACCCTCCCATCTGAGTATTCCCCTGCCACAGTGCCCCCACTCTCTGGGGTCCTCCCCTTCAGGGGATCCCCAACCTCCCCTACCTACCTTGCCTCAGTGACCCTACTACCAGTTGTTATCTAGCCTCTTACCTCAGAGGCAGACTGCAGTCTGAAATGGCCACTCATCATAGGCAAGGGGGTGTGGACCTGCTGCCTTTGCCTGCCGTGGCTGCCTCCCTGAAGCCCTAGTATCCCCCAGACTACTGTCACTGGGCCTCAGACTGGGTTTACTCAGGCTGGAACTCCCCTTACTCACCCTGCCTTTTCCCCAATACTGTTCTGTCTGTGTGGTACCCTGGCTAGCAGGCAGCTGTTTCCTTCTATCTCCAGGGCTAGAATGAGAATGTGCTCAGCCTGGCCAGCCATCTCTTTTATATGGCCCTCCTGGGATCTGATAGGCTGCTACAAGGCCTCTTATGATTGTCCCATAGCTGGAGGGATAGCTAAGTGGTTTGAGCGTTGGCCTGCTAAAACCCAGGGTTGTGAGTTCAATCCTTGAGGGGACCATTTAGGGATCTGGGGCAAATCTGTACTTGGTCTTGTTGTGAGGTTAGGGGACTAGACTCAATAACCTCACAAGGTCTCTTCCAGCTCTATGAGATATGTATGTCTACAGCCCTCTCCCAGGGCTATTTTAACCTTTTTCATGCCCGAAATGGGGTGACCACCCTGCTATACCAGGCAACAAAATACCGTATTTTCCGGCGTATAAGGCGACTGGGTGTATAAGACGACCCCCTAATTTTTTAGTTAAAAGATAGGTTTTCGTCTTATACCCCAGCGCCCCTCCGCCTCCCCGGCTTTGCTCCCGGTGTCCCTGGTCTGCTGGAGATGGTCCCCAGCAGACCAGAGGCACCGGGAGCAAAGCCGCAGCAGCGGCAGGGTCCCGCGCCTCTGAGGCTTTTGCCAGAGGTCTATAAAATCATGACTAGTGTAGAAAAAGTGAATAAGGAAAAGTCATTTACTTGTTCCCATAACACAAGAACTAGGAGTCACCAAATGAAATTAATAGGTAGTAGGTTTAAAACAAACAAAAGGAAGTGTTTCTTCACACAATGCACAGTCTACCTGTGGAACTCTTTGCCAGAGGATGCTGTGAAGACCAGGACTTTAACAGAGTTAAAAAAAGAGCTAGATAAATTCATGGAGGATAGCTCCATTAGCCAGTATGGACAATAATGGTGTACCAGCCTCTGTTTGCCAGAAGCTGGGAACGAGTGACAGGGGATGGATCACTTGATAATCACCTATTTTTTGTCATCCCTCTGGGGAACCTGGCATAAGTCATTGTTGGAAGACTGAATGCTGGGCTAGATGAACCTTTGGACTGACCCTGTATGGCTCTTCTTATGAGTGCTTTACTTTGCAAGAATATTCACATTAATATTAACATTCACTGTAATGGCTATGGTGTAACCATACCTGTAGTACCTGTGAATTGTATTCCTATGGAGAACTAGCTGTATTGTTGATTGTTTTTATTTTCAGCAAGGTCTTGGTAAGGTGTCTGTAAAGGTTTTGCTTTTCCCTCTACATTTTATTTGCACTCTTTGACCTTAACTTTAGTTTACTAGTCTTTGCGCTGTCATGTTTAATAGATCGGAGGGTCCATCCGCTGGGACTATGTCGACAAAACCTCCCCTTTTTAAATCCTGGCACCCCGGGTGTTACGTCATGCCTGGGTGCCGCCCTTCTTGGCTGCCTAGCCACCTGGCGGCTCACTGTGCTTGTGCTCAGCCTCTCGCCACCTCTCCAGCCAGCGGCCTCTCTCACCTCCCTTCTTCACAGCTGTTGTGCAGCGTATGAGCACGCAGCGCATGCGGGCACCTTCGCCTTCCTTCCTCCCTGCCAGGCCACTGCACGGGTCTCTGAAGTGCAGGGCCATGGCGCCCGGTCACAGTGTACCTTTGAAGTGATTGATTAACTATCTTCATATGCACAAATATTCATATTGACTTCAGTAGGAAAAATGGGGGTATGTCTACACTACCCTCCTAGTTCGAACTAGGAGGGTAATGTATGCATACCGCACTTGCTAATGAAGCCCGGGAAATTCAAATCCCGGGCTTCATTAGCATAAGCGGGGACCCGCCATTTTTAAATCCCCGCTGCTTCGAACCCCGTGTAGCGCGGCTACACGGGGCGCGAACTAGGTAGTTCGGACTAGGGGGCCTATTCCGAACTACCGTTACTCCTCGTGAAACGAGGTGTACCGGTAGTTCGGAATAGGCCCCCTAGTCCGAACTACCTAGTTCGCGCCCCGTGTAGCCGCGCTACACGGGGTTCGAAGCAGCGGGGATTTAAAAATGGCGGCTCCCCGCTTATGCTAATGAAGCCCGGGAAATTCAAATCCCGGGCTTCATTAGCAAGTGCGGTATGCATACATTACCCTCCTAGTTCGAACTAGGAGGGTAGTGTAGACATACCCTGGAGGAGTAAGGATTGTAGCAGTCAGCATGAGGAAGGTTATCAGAATCTGGTCTTAAAACAGAAAATTAGTATAGTACATCATAAGACAATGAGCAAGAGGTTTGCTTTTGTCAAAATAAAATTGAAGAAAGTTATATTCGGAGAAATAAACATATTTGGAAAGTTAGAAACTAAAAATGGTGATCAGATCATAGTTTAAAATTATGCTAATTGTATTTTTTCAATGTAACAAGTCAGACAAAAATACATTCCTTAAAAAGGAAAAGAAGGAACCAACAACAGAAGTAGCGTCAATTTGTAAAATTGAAATATCACTCTCTAACGAGGACTAAGAAATGCTGATCCACACGTGCATTAGGTTTTATGAAAAGCAAGCAAGCATTGATAGTGGTTAACGGCAGAGTGTTATATACTTTTTCCATTAAAATACATATAATACGTAATCATTTGTAAAAATCTGCACATATATTTTCTTATTTTGTCACAAATTCCTTAATCATATAACCGTGGAGGCTTTTTAAAAAAATGTTAAAAGGGGATAGCTCAGATTCCTGAAAAAAATTAACTTGAAGATATACAGGAGCAAACAGTTTTATCCATGAGTTAAATCAAATGTCACACTCTTCTGCCTCTAAGGAGTCATCAATCAGTCTTAGAAGAGTAGAAGTATACTCTGTTTGCCTCATTGGTCCTCTTCCTCAGACCAATGAGGCAAACAGAGTATACTTCTTCTACTCTTCTAAGAATGATTGATGACTCCTTAGAGACACTTAGTTTGGGAGCCTCATTTGTGGTATGCTCTGTGGGTTTGTCCATGCAGAACAGTCTTCTAAACTCAGATCTCCACATCTTCCCTTGATGAACTAAAATTCTTGCAAGGACTCTTGATTGATTATAGAAAAGAGAACCTTGCTTCCTATCCTGCTTGTAAAGCTGTTAGGTCAGAGTTCCTTTGTTCATTTTCACCCAACTTTGAAAAAGACAGGTCTCAAAAAAAAAAAATACAGGTTGCATCACCCAAAGTGATATACCACATCCATAGCTAAAGCCTTGGTTAGGCCTAGGCAGTGTTATTGGCTATGGATTAAAACAGCACTAACATTTTTGAATGGTTGAGGTCTTAATTCCAAGCAAGTAAAAAAATACAACCGCTGTAGAAGACACAAGTTTTTGAGTATGAGATATTAATGTCTACTTAAATCACAATAGTGTAGCACAGAACAACTAATTTTGTATGTTTTCTGTATAGTTTATCTTGCACTCCTTTGGAATTCAGTGTTATTTGATCTACTGTAAAAGTTACTGTCCCATTAATGGGTATTCCTTATTAGTAAGAGGCATTGTAGATGTTTTCTCACATACTTCTTGACTGAAATAGCTGTCAGCTC